AAAACCACTGAGTAATAGAAGCAAATTTCTTGAATCCAACAAGAATGAAAATACAGTATACCAAAATTGTTGGGACACAGCAAAGGTAGTGCACAGGGGGTAATTTATGGCAATAAATGCACACTTCGAAAAAGAACAAAGAGCCAAATCATCACCGTAAGCCAGGATCTCCAACAATTAAAAAAGATCAGCAAAAAAAAGTCTACAGTCACCAGAAGAAAACAAAGATTCAAGCAGAAAACAATGAAACAGAAAAAAAAAAAAAAGTCAGTAAGACTAGATGTGGTTCTTTGAAAAGATAAATAAAATTGACAAACCAGTGACAAATTAAACAAAAGAAAAGAGAAGATGGAAATAACACAAATAAGAAATGAAATGGATGACATCACAACAGAATCAACTGAAATAAAAGGGTAGTATCAGGATATTATGAAGATCTGTACTGCAACAAATTTAGAAACCTAGAAGTAGACAGATTGCTAGACATATAATACTTGCTTAACTAACACAGACTGAGGTAGAAAATTTGAACACACCCATAACAAGAGAAGAAATTGAACAGGTCATTTAAGAAAGAAGAAAAGAAGAACAGAACAGAACAAAAAGAAGTCCTGGCCTAGACTGCTTCAGCAGAGAATTCTACCAAACACTCAGAGAAGAGCTGACACCAACACTATCACACTATTCCACAACACAGAAAAGGATGGAGTACTCCCAAGTTCATTTTATGAATCAAGCAAAAACCTGATACCAAAACCAGGCAAGGATACCACTAGAAAGGAAAATTACAGACCAATATCCCTCATGAATAAAGATGTGAAAGTTTTCAACAAAATCCTAACCAACAACGTATCAAAAAAATAATATATCACAACCAAGTAAGATTCATACCAGATATGCAAGGATGGCTCAACATTAGAAAATCAATGTAATCCATCACATAAGTAAAATAAAGGAAAAGAACCACATGATCTATCAATTGATGCAGAAAAGGCACTTGTTGAAATTCAACACCTATTGCTGATAAAAATTCTCAACAAAACAGGAATAGAAAAGAAATAACTAATGTAATAAAGGGCATATACACAAAAGCAACAGACAACATTATTCTCTATGGAGAGAGACTGAAAACATCCCCCTTGCAAATGGGAACCAGACAAGGATGTCCTCTATCATCATTTCTACTCAACACTATACTGGAAGTACTAGCCAGGGCAAAAAGGCATAGAAGGGATATAAAAAGCATCCATATCAATAAGAAAGAAGTAAAAGTATTCTTATTTGCAGATGACATAATCCTATATACAGTAAATCCTAGAGACTCGGCAAGAAAACTACTGGAACTAACTGAAAGATTTAGCATAGTGCCAGAACACAAGATCAACATACAAAAATCAGTTGGATTCATCTACATCAACACAGAGATTTCTGAAACACAAATAAGGAAAACAATACCATTTATAATAGCTACCAAAAAGTTAAAATGTTTAGGAATAAATCTTACCAGGGACACACAAGATCTATAGAAACAAAACTACAGAACACCACTACAAGAAACTGTAAAAGACCTTCATAAATGGAACAACATACCATGTTCATGGATAAGAAGACTGAACATTATGAAACTGTCAATAATACCCAAAGTAATCTATAAATTCAATGCAATCTTGATCCAGATTCCATCAGCATTTCTTCAAGGACATGGAAAAACCAATCACTAATTTTATATGGAAAGGAAAGAGACCTTGGATAAGCAAAGCACTACTGAAGAAGGATACAATGTTGTTGTTGTTGCTATTTGCGAAGAATACAATAGGAGGTCTCATATTCCCCCATATCAAAACCTACTATACAGCCATGGCAGTCAAAATAGCCTGGTGTTTACAAGAACAGACACGCAGACCAATGGAACACAATTCAGAATCCACAAATAGATATATCTACCTTTGTATGCTGATCTTTGACAAAGGACCAAAATTCATTAAATGGGAAAGCAACAGTCTCGTCAACAAATGGTGCTGGCATATCCATTTGCAAAAACAATGAAATAAGACCCATGCCTCACATCATATACTAACTCAACTTTGGTGAGTTAGTTTCTAACTCACTAACCTTGGTGTTAGTTTCACACCAAAAACTAACTCAAGATGGATCAAAGACCTAAATGTAAAACCCAAAGCTATAAAGTTCATCAAAGAAAAAACTGGAGTAAACTTTAGGGCCCTAATTTGTGGTATAAATAGACTATCAAGCATAATCCAAAAAATAGCTAAAGATAAACTAGATGACTGGGCCCTTCTAAAAATTAAATTATTATGCGTATCAAAAGACCTTTCCAAAAGAGTGAAAAGAGAAACTACAGATTGGGAAAAAATATTTGCCAACAACATATCTGACAAGGAACTTACCTCAAAAATTTATAGAAAATTTCAACACCTCAACATAAAAAAGAAAAACAACCCACCTTAAAAATGGGCAGAGGACTTCACCAAAGAAGATATTCAGGCAGCCAACAAACACATGAAGAAATGCTCATGATCATTACCCATTCAAACTCAAACTCACTACAGAGTCGGCTACAAGGCTGGAAAGCTTTACAGAGGCAAACTGTCTCATCTTTCTTCTGCAGAGTGGCTGGGGGGTTTGAACCACTGACCTTTTAGTTAGCAGGCAAATGCCTTAATTACTACACCACCAGAACACCTTTATTAGCCATTAAACAAAACCAAAATCAATGCCATCGAGTCAACTCTGGCTCATAGTGATGCCCAATGGGTTTCCAAGGCAGTAAATCTTTATAAAACTAAACTGCCCCATCTCCCTTCCATGGAGCAGCTGGTGGGTTTGAACCGCCAACCTTCTTGTAAGCAGTCAAATCCCTTAGGCATTACACAACCACATGCAAATCAAAACAATGAAATACCATCTCACTCTAGTAACAGCAGCAAAGTTCAACAAAATAGAAAGTAACAAATGCTACCGAAGGTGTGGAGAGATTGGAACTCTCATACACCACAAGTGTAAAAGGGTACAACCACCATGGAAAATGGTATGGTCCTTCCTTAAAAAGTTGGAAACAGAAATACCATTTGATCCAGCAATCCCACTTCTAGGAATATATCGTAAAGAAGTGAGAGTCAGGCCACTAACAGATATATGCACACCCATGTTCATCACAGCACTATTCATAATAGCAAAGAGATGGAAATAACCTAAATGCCCATCAACGGATGAATGGATAACATTCATAATATAACTCACAGTACATACATACAAAGGGATACAATGCAAAACTAAAGAATAATGAAGAATCCATGAAATACCTCACAACTTGTATGAACCTGGAGGACATTATGCTGAGTGAAATACTTTATGAGTCTGCTACTGTATAAAGTCAAGGAAAGGTTTACAAATGGAAGGAAATTTTTTTTCCTGGTTACCAAGTGGAGGGAGGGAAGGCAAAATTGCTAGCCAGGTAAGAGACATGTACTGATATGGGTGAAGGGAAAGGCAATATACCAAAAGTGAGTGACTAGCACAAAAACACTAAGGAAATGGGAGACACAGAGAAGTGCACAAGAGGTACAACCAAAAGGGTACAACCACCGTGGAAAATGGTATGGCCCCTGCCTTAAAAAGTTGGAAACAGCGATACATACGTAGACAGGCTAAATGATCAGGGGAGGCAAAAGGGAGTATACTGACAACCATATATTAGTTTTGCAGATGATATTAATACATACATACTTGTATGTGTTATAAAAAAAATGTTCATGTATGTAATAGAGCTAACAGGAGACAAAGTTATGATAACACCTTAGCCACAAATACATTGAGGGAGTGAGCTATTGGGCCCATGGGCTCAGGATAATAGTCACAGAAGAAATCAAGCTCAACTGGCCTAACACACCACACATAAAGTTTGGTCTACAATCTACTTTGATGAGTAGTGACTGGGGTCTTAAAAACATGTGAGTAGCCATCTATCTTGCAACAACTGGTCTCTCCTCCTCTAGAGCAAAGAAAAATGAAGAAAATCAAAGATGCATTGAAACAATTACTCCAAAGGACTAGTGGGCCATGGGAACCTCAATCTACATGACCCTGAGACCAAAAGAACTAGATGGTGCCCAGCTACCACCGCCAATCACTTGGAAAGGGATCAAGGTGGGAGATCCTGGATAGATGGGGAGAAAAATGTGGAACAAAACTCATTATCATGAAAAAGACCAGGCTTATTGATCCAACAGAGACTGGTGAAACCCCCAAGACTACAGCCCCCAGTCACCCTTTTGGCCTGGAATTGAACTCACTCCCAAGGCTAAACTTCCAGCCAAGCAATAGATAGGCCTACCAGGTGAACAATTAAACCAGGCAGGTACACTCCTTAGAACAATCAACCATGGGAGATCAGAAGGGCAGCATTTATACGGGGAAAAGCTCAAAGGGCAGGAATGCACAGGAGAGAAGGACACAGGGAAAAGGTAACCACAAGGCAAAAGTAGGAAGACAGCTGTTACATCAGGGGGATTGTAATCAATGTCATGAAGCAAAATGTGTATGAACTGTTGAATGGACAACTAATTTCCTCTGTAAACTTTCACCCAAATAAAAATTTAAAAAGAAAAGAAAACCCACAAAGCACAGCTCTACTGAGACAGGTGGGGTCACCTTGAGTTAGAGTTGGATGGAAAAGAAAATGTGTACCTCTACATTTCTTGACATAGAAAGTCATTTCATATATTAAGTGAAAGACAGTAAGTAGCAAAATAGCATATGGAAAATGACTGTATTATTTAAATCTTTGTAAGTATTCATACATGATAAATCCAGAAAGATGTGTTATAGGTTTCCAGTATTTTTCTCTCAGGGTGGTGAGACTTGGGGTAGTTATTATTTGATAATATTTTCTCTTGACTGAACATTTTCGCAATAAATAGGCTTCATTAGTTTAAAAATAATACATCTATTTTCACTTTAATTACATAACAAAAACTCACCACAGCAAGGAATTTTTCAGTTCCATCTGTTGATAACACTGGTTTTTCTTCCTTAATTATGTCTTTAGTGTCACCTTTTTCTACTAATTGCCTCTTCTCAATCTTTCTTATGTTTGGTCTGGGTCTCTGAAGTCGGCGCCTCATTGGTTGAGCTTGGATACCACTGTCTTTCATTTCTTCTTGGAAGGTGTTTATATTACAAGCCCTAGAAAATAAGACAGAGAGAAAGAGAGGGAACTTGTTGTAGAGAGTTAAAAACTAAGATAAAAATATAAAATTTGAATCTCCTCTAATAATCTTTCTTTAACAATATTTCTGAACTATTAAGGGAAAATGAGAGTAAATTATTTTCTGTTTATAAATACAGTATTTTATTTTATAAAGGAAAAAGTAATTCTCAAAAAGTAATGACTATATATGTACATACATATATTACTAAATGCACTGCTTGAGAAGGATCTTATGAATCTAATAATATAAGCAATTAAGCAGTAAGAAATGTTCAATTCAAGTATCTGATATTCTATCTCAGGCAATGTGCCATATCAACAAAAATAAACCAACTATCCTTTATTTTTTAAAAAAATAATTAAAGTACCAAGGTGGTGCAAATTCATTTTACTTGGATCCACAATCAACACCCATAGAAGCAGAAGTCAAGAAATAAGATCTCTATTATTATTTTAAGAGGGAGAACAATGTGGAACAAAACTCAAAATCATTTGGAGGGAAAAAAAAAGGGGGGAGGGACCAGGTTTGCTGGTTCAATAGAGCCTGGTGGAACCACTGAGACTATGGCCCCTAACTGCCCTTCAGGTCCGGAATTGAACCCACACCTGTGGTTTCCAGCCAAACAAAAGACAGGCATATGAGTTGAACATCTAC